ATCTGATCTACAATGAATGTGGGTTGGGGAGTGAAGAAAGATACCACAGGACTTAAGACTTTTATATAAAATTCAGGGGCCTTAATCTGGGTTCACTTACCATGATAAAATGGTTTTTTTAATCAGAGCCTGAACAGAATGCCATTATATACATATTTTAAAACAACAATTTCTGTAATTGGAAATCTGTAGAATGACTGATCTTTAATCATAGGTCACACATATTACCATGTACATATTTATACATTTCAAAAGATGGCGAAATACAACAGCAAGAGTACTCACCAGTGAAGAATTCCTTTTTTCCTTAATGCTACTATGAAAGAGTTCAGTGCTTTCTTAAGTAAATACCATACGCTTAAAAATATTTCCATAAAATAGAAATTGTTTTTCTAAAGAAAAATTTCATTCTCATAAAACATCTGAGTGAAAAAAAATTCTTACTCTTTATCTGTATCTCCTTCACTTTCTTCTCCATGATCAAAGCTCCAATTATTTTTAAAACCTCCATCTGTCTTAGATTCTGATCTAGCCAAAGCTGAAATAAAAACAAACTGAGATAAGTATTCATTTATTTTTACAAATTTATTGCTGTCCATATCTGAGTTTGCTACGAAAAGAGCTCGAATTAGTAAGATATAATGAAAATTGGGGGTAGAGGGTAGAGGATGGAGCACATGAATATGTAGGAAATATATAAAAATCAGCCCTGTATCTCCATATTTGGTCACTGATTCTAGATATTAGTACCTCTTAGTTTATTTGACTTTTTTGTGAGAACTCTATCTACATAACTAGCCTATTCTCTACCTCAGTCAATCTTCTCTGCATCTTGACAGAAGAGAAACCCACATTTTCTGTCAGCAATACAGTGACTTTGATATCCAGAAAAACACTCTAGATCAGAACACCAAACATGCTCATTCTGAGTTTAAAAAATTTTGTAAGTGCATGGCTGAAATCCCCTGAAGTCATAAACCAGAAAGTGGGAACACAGAAAGATAAATGAAGCTGGCATTTGTCCAGGAGCCATGTGACAATGATCTGGTGGCTCAGAGCCTCAGCTTTAGGAAGATCGCCCTAACATGAAAGGTCAGACTGGAGACCAGAAAACTTGAAGAGCGGCACTCAAAATGGGTGAACTAGGTAAAAAAGAAAAAAAAGGAAAAAAAAAAAAAACTTCACTGAAGAGAGACAGTGGGAATAGTTATAATATCACAACCTTGGCTCTGGATTTTTGGGTTGAAACTAAGCTAAATAAAGTGTATCCACCACATGGTTAGGGATTCCTAACTATAAACACAATTATTCAAGTTTGGGATCAGAATTTTTATGACCTACATGGCCCAGAAAAGCCCACAATTAAAATAGTCTCACAACTACCAAACATTTAAAGAAGAGTTAATACCTATCCTTCTCAAAGTATTCCAAAAAATAGAACAGGAAGGAATGGTTCCAAACCAGACAAGGATACTACAAAAAAAGACAATACAGACCAATATCCCTCATAAACATAGACACAAAAATCCTCAACAAAATATTAGTAAACCAAGTTAAAAAATACATTAAAAGGATCATTCAACACCATCAAGTGGGCTTTATTCCAGGGATGCAAAGATACCTCAACATTCACAAATTAATCAACATGATACACAACATTCACAAACTGGAGGATAAAAACCAAATAACCAACTCAACAGATACAGAGAAAACATTTGACAGGATTCAAAATCCATTATGAAAAAGAAACTCTCAACAAAGTGGGTTTAGAGGGACCATAATTTATAATAAAAGCTGTACATAACAAACCCACAGCCAACATCACACTCCAAGATGAGGAACAAGACATGGGTGCCCACTCTCCCCACTTTTATGCAGCATAGCACTGGAGGTCCTAGCCGTGGAAAACAGGTTAAAAAAAAAAGAAAGAAAGAAAAGGAATCCAAACCAGGAAGTCAGAAGTAAATCTGTCACTGTCTACGCATGACATGATACTATGGGTAGAAAACCCAAAAGACTCCACCAAAGAACTATTAGAATTAAAAAATGAATTCACTGAAGGTACAGGATACAAAAATCAACATTCAGAAATCTGTTGCATTTCTATACAAGTAGCCAGATGAGAAATTAAGAAAACAACCCCACTCACAATCTATAGATTCAATGTAACCCCTATCAAAATACCAGTATTTTTCATAGAACTACAACAAATAATCCTGAAATTTGTATGAAACCACAAAAGACCCTGAATAGCAGAAGTAATCTGGAGAAAGAACAGCAAAGCTAGAGGTTTCACAATCTCAGCTTTAAGCTATATTACAAAGCTACAGCGATCAGAACAGTATGACACTGACACAACAACAGACACATAGATCAACGGAACAGATTAGAGCTCCAAATAGGCCCACACTTGCATGGTTAACCTATCACAAGGATGCAAGAATATGCAATGGGACAAAGACAATCTCTTCAATAAATGCTGTTGAAAAAACTGGACAGCACACGCAAAAGAATGAAACTGGGATCACTTTTTTACTGCATACATAAAAAAAAAACTAAAAATGGATTAAAGATCTAAACTGAACACTTGAAACCATAAAACTCCTAAAAGAAACCATCAGTGATCTCTTGGACAGCCATAGCAATATAGTTCTGGATTGTCTCCTTAGGCAAGGGAAATGAAAGCAATAAACTTTTAGAACTATATAAATCTAAAAAGCTTTTGCACTGCAAAAAGAAAATCAACAAAACAAAAAGGCGCCTACTAAATGGGCAAAGATAGCCGCAAATGATATATCTGATAAGGGGTTAATATCCAAAATATATCAAGAACTTACACAACACCAAAAAACACCCATGCAATTTGATTTAAAAATGAGCAGAGGACTTTATGAGCCATTTTTCCAAAGACATACAGATGCCAGCAGACATATGAAAAGACACTGAACATCAGTGACCATCAGGGAAGTGCAAATCACAGCCATAATGAGATTATCACCTCCCACCTACCATGATGCCTACTATCAAAAAGACAAGAAATAACAGGTGATGGAGAAGATATGCAGAAAAGGGACCCTTCATGCACAGTTGGGAATGTAAAATTGTCCAATTACAATGAAAATAATAGGGAGGTTCCTCAAAAAATTAAAAATAGAAATACTGCATGACCCAATTCTGGATCCAAAGAAAACACAAATACTAATTCAAAAAGGTATACACACCCCTATATTCATTTCAGCATAATTTACACTAGCCAAGATGTGGAAACAACCCAAGTGGTGATCAATAGATGAGTGGATAAAGAAGATGTGATAAATATACGCAATGGAATATCATTCAGCCATAAAAAATAATGAAATCTTGCCATGTGCGACAAAATGGTTGAACCTAGAGGGTATTATGCTAAGTGAAATAAGTCAGACAAATACCATATGATTTCACTTGTATGTGAATCTAAAAACATGAACAAACAAGAGTCATAGACACAGAGAACAGAATGGTGGCTGTCATAGGAGTGGGGAGGAGGAGGATGGGTCAAATAGCTAAAGGGGATTAAGAGGCAAGACGTTCAGTTGTAAAATAGTTAAGTCACAGGGAAAAAAGTACAGCATAGTGTACTATATCGTCATAACTTTGCATGGTGACAGATGGTAACTACACTCATCACAGTGAGCACTGTATGTATATACTGCCGAATCACTGCGTTGCACACCTGAAGCTAATATATTGTATGTAAAATGTACCTCAATTTTTAAAAAATAAAAGTCACATAAGAAACAATGCTCAATATCACTAGATATTAGGGAAATGCAAATTGGAGCTATAATGAGTTACCACCTCACACACATTAGGATGGCTATTATATTTAAAAACAGAAAATAGTAAATGTTGGTGAAGATGTGAAGAAATTGGAACTCTTATGCATTGCTGGGGGGATGTAAAACAATGCAGCCATTGTGGAAGAATCCTGGCAGTTCCTCAACACAGAATCACCCTATTATCCAGCGATCCCACTTATAGGTATGTACCCACAGTGACTGAGGGCATAGACTCTGATACTTGCACACCAATGTTCTCAGCAGCATTAGTCTCAATAGCCAAAAGGTGGGAAGAACCCAAATGTCCATCAACAAATCGATCAGTAAACAAAACCTGCTGTGTACACACACACACACACACAGCAATATTATTCAGCCATAAAGGAATAAAATTCTGATAGATGCTACAACATGGACGAAGTCTGAAAACATTAAACTGAGTGAAATAAGCCAGACACAGAAGGACAACTATGGTAATCCCATTTATCTGAGGTTCCTAGATCAGGCAAATTCAGAGACAGAACGTGGAATAGAGGTTACCGGGGGCTGGAGGGAGAGAAGAATGGAGAGTGATTTTTTGACGGGCACAGAGGACTGGTCTGGGATGGCCAACGATGACTCTGGGAAGGGACAGTGTGGCGGTGATGGCTGCACATGATGAATAGACTAAGCCAACCCAGAACTGTACACTAAAAAATGGATAAAATACATTTTGTAATGTATATTTTACTACAAAAAACTCTGTGAAGGGGGAAAAACCCTCTAAATGACTAAGAGTCAAATACATATATATCCTCTCTAAAAAAAAAGTTTTTGCAATGCAAGCCTCAAAAAGGTTTCAAAGACTGTGAGTTCATAACCAAAAATACCATAACAATCACGACACAGGAGGAAACAAGACATCATAAGCAAATCTGAAACTTCCTTACATGTATGGGGGGGTTGGAGAGATAAGTAAATAAATCGTAGATAATGGGAGCAAGCTTTCTCCCTGTCAGAGAAAGAAGTTCTAAAGCAGCAAGACGTGCTAGGTTAGAGTAAGAGGTATCAGTACAAGCTCACGTTGTGATACACATACACACAGAGACACAGAAGCAACAGTGCCGTGCCGTGGCCACCACGGAGCTGGGCCACCCCCCCCCCGCCCCCCGAGATGGTCTAGAGGAAGTGACAGCCCAGCAGCACTTACAACCGGGTCGTGATTGGAGATACTATTCTCCAGTAAAAGGAGCCAGGGCTCCTACAGAAATGACCATTTCTAGGAATGAGACAGGAAAAATACAAGATAAGACTGCAGACTTTTGTAGTGTTAGAAAGCAAGGAACTGCTTTTCCAAAAAGATGGAGGTATGTCAAAAGGTTGCAGGAGCCAACCTGACAGAATCTCTCAATAGCAAAACAGAAGTGGAACAATTTTAGCAAAAATAAATTAACAATAGTACTGGATTGTAACCCCGAGAGAAAAATAAATATTCACAAGTCCCTACTGACATAAATGATCGAATAAATAAATAAGTGGAGAAAAGGGACACACCCACCTTACAGAAGAATTCCAAATGATGTTATGTGCAAACTCTCTCCTGTAAAAGAGTCTCCTGTAAGAGAACTTAACTCCCCTTCCCTTAAGCATCCACTGGATGTCGTAACTCAATGCCCAAGAGGTGACTATAAAAAGGGGGACAAAGGTACACTGGCAGTGAGAAACCTGACAATTACTACCT